GCTAGTTGTAATCGGAGCTACATAACTCCAAACCATTGTCTGTACGAAGGTTTTCTCATCTCCTTTCAGTTTGATTCTGCACCAAGGCCTTCCACTGCTTGAAGTTCTTGAAAACTTCATTTTTATGGTTCATAGTGAATATCCAAGTTAACCTCGAGTAGTCGTCAATAATGGATAAAAAAATACATGATGCCTCCAGTAGATTCAACTCGAAAAGAACCCAAATAGTTAGCGTGTAGGTAATCCAGTACCACATATTCTAGTTAATACCCTTCTTAGGAAACTTATCATGATGTAGCTTCCCAAACACAATTTGTTTGGGTCGTATTGCACAAGGTCTTCTAATAACACATACTCATAACTTATCACTTATGCTCAAACAAAGACATAACAATAACATAAATCGATGGGTTGAGGTTTTATGTTTATTAGATTTTCTAAATAAGCATAGATAAGTAAAGGATACACAATTGATAAGAAAATTCATTCTAAATAATCCTACTTCTTAATCTCAATAATGACATGCATTGATGCATATTCTACTATATTACTCTTTCCCTCAACTAAAGCATTTATAATCGAGATTTGGCCGCATGCTAATGGAACTACAACTAGCTAAGGCATGCTTTCGCTCTATGTCATTAACTAATCAATCAAACAAGGGCATAAAGATAGCAAATTAACTACTTAGGGTTTCTATTAACCATATCAATGGTATGTAGCGTTGATGAACTAGTGTATAAAGCATTGAACATATACAAGCATGGATGGTTGAATCATTCTACTCCTTACATGCGTAAGAAAATGGCACATCATATAAGAGTAGTATCCTAACATATTATCATTGTATTATAGACAACATCATAGTAGCACATAATAGATATAAAGTATCAAATGATATAAGCATCACATGGCTAAGACATCAAATGATATAAGCATCGGATTTGATGACTACTTTAGTTGGTATGCTCATTTGATTTACAGTCTTCATCCCTCGGATATAGTCAACAGAAATAACCTAATGGTGTTTCACTAAGAAAAGCACAAATACACGGTGTTTTGGGTGTAGGGCAGTGGAGGCACAGATTTAAGAGTAGTGCAGTTTTGGACTCCAAACATGTGAGGGAAGATCTCTTTAACCCTGTGAGATTCATGGTCATGCTTTCCTATAATGTCTCTGCATAGTGGTGAGAATGAGAAGATTGTTCATGACCTCCATCAAATTTTGATCAAAGTATTATATAACTCTGTCATCTCTATTCTAAAATAGACTGTATTTATTCTCTTCACAGGCTTGTCTCACATTGACTAGGTCAGAAAAAAATACATAGTGTTGAATTGAAAAGATTTATTCCTATTAAACTCAATTTTTATTTTTTTATCATTCTCTAAATATATTATGTCTGGGCATTATTTTCATGGCTTTCACAGTAAAAGGAAACAGTACTCTAGTTTTCAAACCACATGAAAGAGAATGGACTCTCGAGAACGAGTCTCGTGAACTCAACAACAATTCATACAATCTAAATCTTTCAATCGATAATTAGGCCAAAGAAAATAAATTAAATTAGTCGCCCCCTTCTTTCTATAAAAAAGGTTTTGAGCAGTTAATTGTTTTTTCTTTCTAAGAAGAATTTCTTATGGTCAACGAGTAAGCTACATGCATAAGAAATAGTTAAATTGGTCTATGGTCCATTAGTTCTCCCTCCCCCTTTAACTCAAATGTGTTATATGATTTTATTTATAAATGAATAATTAGAGAGGAGCCTAAATGATAGGATTGAGTATGCAAAGTTTCTTCAAAATACAGTAAAAAAGATGATAAACAAAGTTCAAAATTTACATAGTGGTGGGGATGAGAAGATTGTTCGCGACATCCATCAACTTTTGATCGAAATAAGTATTATATAACTCTGTCTTCTCTTTTCTAAAATGGATGTATTTTTTTACATACTTCTCTCACATTGACTAGGTGGAAAATAAATATATAGTTTTCGGAATGAGAATATTTATTCCTATTAAGCTTAATGTTCACATTTTCTTTCTCAGTTTCTAACTATATTATGTTTGGCCATTGTTTTCAAGGCTTTCATAGTGAAAGAAACATTACTTCAGTTTTCCAACCACGTGAAAGAGAATGGACTCTAAAGAATGTGGTTCATGAACTCATCAACGCTTTGGCTATTCTAGCCTTAGAATCAGTAAGCATTTGCAATTATGTATTGTATTTAAGAATAAACTTATTGTTCTCCAATCGAAATTTGTGTACACACATTTTTCTAATTCGATTTGATTACTCAACTTGCTAGCAGTTGGTGTGGTGGTGGATGAGGCGGTGGCAACAACAAGTTATCTAAGAAGTATTCTTGACAATAAAAAAACTCGAGCAATTGCTTTCTTAGTTTGGTTCGGTTGACAATCTACAGATTATACGAACTATTGGACACATATTTAGTTTGATTCGGTTGACAGTCTTTATCCTCTTGATGAAGTGTTTGTTTTGGTACTTTCGAAACTGTTCCATAACATGCTTCCATCGACATTCCGAAACAAAATGAAAGATAAGGTAATAATACAATATGCACATGATAAGTATTTGATTTCTTTTCAGTTCCTTCTAACTCAAAAGTGCCTTATGATTTGATTTATACATGAATCATTGCAGAGGAAATAGGGTTGACTATTCAAAGTTTTTTCAAAATACAGTAAATAAGATGGCAAGCGAAGTTGAAAGTTTACATAGTGGTGAGAATAAGAAGATTGTTCTCGTCCTCCATCAACTTTTGACCAATGTAAGTGAGCAAGGTAAGTATTACATAACTGTTTTCTCTCATCTAAAATGGGCTGTCTATTTATTTTCTTCACATACTTGTCTTACATTGACTAGGTCAAAAAAGAAATACATAGTTGTGGGAATGAAAAAATTTATTCCTATTAAGTTCAGTGTTTATATTTTCTCTCTTAGTATCTAAATATATTATGTTTGATCATTCTTATCAAGGTTTTAACATAAAAAGAAACATTACTCCAGTTTTCAAACCACATGAATTTGGACTTCCTGGAATAAGTTTTATGAACTCAACATCGCTTTGTCTATTCTGGCCTTAGAATCAGTAAGAATTTACAATTGTGTATTGTGTTTAATAGACTTATTGTTCTCCAATCAAACTTTGTGTATTCACATCTTCTTAATTTGATTTGATTACTCAACTTGCTAACAATTGATGTGGTAGCGGATGACAGGGTGGCAGCAACAAGTTATCTAAGAAACACTATTGACAATAAAGGATGTATGGAATGAAAAAGAATATATGCAAACATTCTTTTTATATACTATGTCAAAGATCATACATATTTTCAGCACTTTGTCTATTATGGCCTCAGAATCAGTAAGAATTTACAATTGTGTATTGCGTTTAATAGACTTATTGTTCTCCAATCAAACTTTGTGTATTCACATCTTCTTAATTTGATTTGATTACTCAACTTACTAACAATTGATGTGGTAGCGGATGATAGAGTGGCAGCACCAAGTTACCTAAGAAGTACTATTGACAATAAAGGATGTATGGAATGAAAAAGAATATATGCAAACATTTTTTTTATATACTATGTCAAATATCATACATATTTTCATCGCTTTGTCTATTCTGGCCTCAGAATCAGTAAGAATTTACAATTGTGTATTGTGTTTAATAGACTTATTGTTCTCCAATCAAACTTTGTGTATTCACATTTTCTTAATTTGAATTGATTACTCAACTTAATAACAATTGATGTGGTAGCGGATAACAGGGTGACAACAACAAGTTACCTAAGAAACACTATTGACAATAAAAGATGTATGGAATGAAAAGAATATATGCAAACATTTTTTTATATACTATATCAAAGATCATACATTTTTTCGAAATAAAATTTATATATATGGTTCTATCGTACACTAGGCGAAAATTGGTTTATATAGTATACCGACAAATTTCCACTACATGAGTATATCTCAATTGTCAACATAAATACGGTAATTTATTTTATAATTCCATAAAAATAGAACTCGTAATTATGCTGACTGTAGAGATGGATGCATAGGGTGGAGATTACCTGGTGTACGATAGAAGTCACCATACATAGTTTGACATTCGTAATCGACCATCTTTCATAACTTGAATACTCAAATTTACAGGAACCGACTCATTTATCAACATATTAGTGTTTTTTTCAATCCATATATTAGGTACGATAAAACGGTCATCCAACTCTTCATAAATTTCCTAATTTTATGAATGTTTAGTGAATCCAAAATAGTAGAGGGTTCATCTTAAATGTAGTAGCTTAAAAAATACGCAGTTAAATAGAGCAAAAATGTTTAAACAAATATAATAAGATTGAAAAAAAAAACTGGTGAGAGAATTAATGGTCAATCAATCCAATCCATCCACGTAAATATTCAACTAATTCAATCCATTTGATCAAAATCTAATTAGATTGATGGATTTATGGACTAATCCATGGATCCAAATGGCAAATTACAATTTCATACCTATATTTTTTATATTTTACCATAAAATTTTATTTTTATATGAAAAATATCCTCAGAAAATTATATTTTGGTACCTAAATTTTTTTATTGTGATATTTTAGTACCTAAACTTTTCAAAATTTACATACTGGTCCAATGCTTGGATGTCATTTGGATTCATGGATCAATCCACCAATCCATATGATCCAATTCATGAATCCACCAATCCATGTAATCCAATCCATTTGATACATGGATCTACCGATCCAATCCACCTACTTGCGGATACAATCTATTTGCCACCTCCAGAGAGAAGTGATCAACAAGGATTGAAGGACACCATAGAGTCGCTACAAAGAAAGAAGTGGAAACTCGTCGAATATGTTAACTGGGGAGCATACTGGAGATCGTTAATCGACTCGAATTTTCATAATTCATATTCACCCACGACTCGTTGGCCATTAAAGGTCGGATCTAAGTTATCTTCCACACTCTTTAATTAGATAAGACTGGATAAAATGCTATCATTTTAAGTGTTAACACCATGCTAACATAAATGATTAAGAGTATTTTGATAACGGTTGCTCATAACAACAATTACCATCTCAGTCAAACCCAACCCCATATGGTGAGGATGGGTGTTCTCGTCTTGCCACCAACCAACATAGTGTGACGATCTCGTTGTCCAAAAAAGTGAAAAGACAGCATTAAATTTAAATCGAGATCTCTCACCCGCCGTAAACATAGTAGTATCGAACCTTAATTAATATATATATATATATCGGCGATGCCACCGAGAGAAAGACTAGCTTAGCTTACTACTGGCCGGCGGCAAAAGCCTGGACAGGGAAAGTCTTGGTGATGCCACCAAGGCTCTTGAAGTGAACTTTCCCGGTAGGGGGATCGTCGACGACGATCTCGTTGACCGGAGGCCACAGCATCAGCTCCTTGGCTTTCACACCTTTCATCTTCTTCGCCTTGTTCTTCTCGATGTACCCGCTGATCTCGGCGTCGTAGCTCACCTGCTTGCTGATCATCTTGAAAAGGTGCTTCGTCCCCTTCTTCTGCACGATCCAGAAGTATCCCGTTTCCTTCACGTAGCCGGCCTCCACCATTTCCTCCAGCGGCAGCATCCCTTCCGGCAGCCCGAACTCCTTCAGGAGGGATACCGCCATCTTCATCGCTTCTTCGTGCCCTTTCGCCACCGTTGCACCTTGCTTTGGATCCGCCATTTTTACGTGTGTATGTGTGTGTATGGAAGGAGATGAAGAGGGGAGTTGGTGTTTACGTGGGTATTTATAAGAGGAGTAAGGGTTTGTGGGGAAGACCGTAAGAATGGGAGGGCGTCAAGCTGGTGTGGGTGATATCGATGAGCAACAGCATTGAAGGAATCGGTGGTTTGGTTGATTTCTTTTCTAGCTCGTTCTTTAATAAGGTTGTCGAATTTCCAGACCTTTATCTTGTGAGCTTGTCACTAATTAATTATATATTTGTGATGATTAATTACAGCTTGTTATTATTCCAGATAATCTTAGAAATCCTGTTCCCAACACATGCATCTATGATGCTAATCTTTGTAACTTTTTTTTCTTATTGAAATTTAACTGTGTACATAGTGGTAATGGGTAGACGAAAAATTTTCCCACGAAATATATAAAAATATATATTAATATGATTTTGTAGGTCAAAATGAACATGTTCATTAATTATGTGCAATTTTTTAAATTCGAGTTAAAAAAAAAGGTAATACAAATCGCTTTAAAAAGCAGCGAGATTAAATAGCATTTTAATCTCACCCACTCAAAAAGTCAAAACCAAGAGATCGTATATGATTATGCACAAATGCATAATCAATGGTTATATAACATAATCCACGTACACATTATCGTTTACCATCTAACTTTGGTCTTAACTCGCTACTCAAGCCTTCAAATTTGGACAAAATTGTATAATAACACTCAAAGTATTATTATGTTGAGTGCTAACATCCACAGAAAAAGAGGAATTAATATACGAGGAAAGTACTAAAAAAATTAATCTAATATGTATTAATTATATTTTTGGTTTTCGAATTTTAGTTTTCTATCGCTGGAATTCGTTGAAACTATATAATGCATATTAGAAAATAAGAAATGTATACTAGAAACACAAAAATACATGGCAAAAACATAAGAACGCATATTAGAAGAACTATAGTGCATACCACAAATCTCTTCAAGCGTACCAAAATCACTAGAATACCAGAAGCACTAAAATACTTATTAGAACACAATAATGTATACTATAGATTAAAGAATGCATACCAGAAACTAAGAAATATATACACTAGTATTGCTTTAATGCATTCCAGTAACCACTAAATGCATATCACTATCAAATGACTCTGTTTTTTTTTTTTTCTAAAATATATGTGCAAGAACGAAATGTTTTTAATATGAACTTGGATAAAACGAAACCAAAATGACAAATTCACACCTGGGGATAGCTCGATTGGGTTAAAGGGTAGTTGCTCGACCACGATTGAAGTGAATATTCAATCGATACACAAGCTCAGCAAGTTTGGAATCCACCAAACCCAAAACAAGTCGCAACTTGCACAAACCAAACGGTTTCGATTTCTATTCAACAAAAACTGACGATTACAATGCAAAAGACGAGTTTAAATAGGTCTAGCTAGGGTTAAATTTCGTACAAGCAACTCTTAATTACATTCTAATACGAATAAGAACTAAAAAGTAGCAAAAAGAACCTAATCCTAATCGAATAAGGAAAACAATTCTGTTTTTACAAAGGCAGAATTTTGTGACTTCGTACTACCTTCGTGCCTTTCGTTCAAGGCCTTCAAGATCTCCAATCTTTCATCCAATTCCTTTTCTTGGTAGAAAAACATACCTATTTTCATTTTGTGGAAGACTTTGTACTTTAATCCCTTCCATGCTCCTCGAATTGAGCTCCAAAGTAGGCTACATGAACACAGATTTATACTCGAGACAGATTCTGGCAGTTTTCCAGTTTTGACACAGGCTTTTGATGAGCTTGTAAAATAACCTTCCTGATTTCTCCTTGAGCAACCAAGCATACCAATGTGTAGATAAACACTCCATATTAAATACAAGCCCCTAAAATTGAATTTTCATCAAACCAATTTTGAGAACCATGCCTCCAAAGTAGGCATCTCGAAACTGTTCCAACACTTAACCAAATCATGCCCTTCTTATTCCCAACTTCGATAGTTTCTTTGTCAAGTATCAAAAACGTGTATAGTTGGCCATTTGGGATCATATCATAGATGGAGATGGAGAAGGAGAAGCTGAAGTGGGTTGTCAACTCATCACTCCCGATTGATTTCTTGATCTGAGACGTGCTGGCAATCAAGCGTGGCAAGCTCCGAATTGTTCTTGATTTCGGCATAGGAGCCTGTTCGTTTGCTGTTAGAATGAGGGAGCGCAACGTCACTATTGTCTCAACTTCCCTAAACCTTGGAGCTCCGTTCAGTGAGACTATTGCTTTGAGACTTGAGAGGGTTGATCCCTTTGTATGTGACATTGAACCAAAGGCTTCTATTCTTCGACAACACCATGGATTTGATACATACCACAGGGCGTATCAACGGGTGGATGGATATGTTGCTGCTGGATTTCATGATTTTCAATTGGGATCATTGACTAACTGGAAAGAAATCATTGACTACAAACTGTTTATGTTCTGTTAATTCTTGTTCACTGTCTGTTAAGAGTCTTGATGTTTGTCTTCCTTGTATACTTCACCACTCAAATCAAATTCAGGTTACCGTAAAGCGAAAGCGAAGATAAGATAAGTCATACGCAAGATCAAAGAAAGATCAACAGTTCAAGACTAGCTATAGAGTCAAGCAACTGGGTGAATCGAAGCTTCAACGAATCCCCATCCATCGTCGTCGATATCCGGACCAATCCAATAACCAGTTATTGTTTTGTGACTATAACGACTTACTACATTCATGATATAAAAACTATTAAAAGGGAAAATCCTACTCAGATGACCTATTAATGGAATAGTCGCAGTCGCACATCCAGGAACTTTGAGAGAGATGCCTTTCCTGGTGGTGCTGCCCTGGCTAAGGAGGCCGTCGGTTGCTGCATGCAATGAGAAGTGATCTATACAATCAATGTCTCCAATGAAGAGGAAGCTTGTTTTTTCTTCTATATTTAGCGCCAAAGCTTAATTGTGTTTACACTATAATCATAATAATAATGGCAATTAGAAGATCAATTCTTCAAGGCACACAAGAGATATCGAATGGCAACCACAGAGGAAAGAGTAGACAGACTCTCTTTTGCTCGCTTAAAGACAATGATATTCTCTGCACTATAAAATGTGAAGCCCAGTGAATCATCTCTACCTAGAAAACATACAATACTTTCAAGTTGTATGCAAACGCTTAATGCCAATACAACAGCTAGATGGTCAGAGCAGTAATAGCATTACAAAAAGTTCATCTGTCAATGTTACCGATGAGTCGGGGTGGGGAAAAAAAAAAACAATAGCCTACAGCACAAACAGAATTGCCACGCCATTATGAACCTAACAAAGGGTGAACACTGAAAACAACCTGATTGAAGTTGGAACAGAGGAAGGCATGCTGCAATCGCACGCTCTTAAGAGTATGAAATGTGGAACTCTGCTACCTACCCTAGTAAATTTTCGAACTAATTTATCTCTTATTCACTTTCAGGTTCTCATCATACTTGAGCATATATAGGTTCTCCGACATTTCCACATATGAGACCCTATAGCAGGAAGATCACGGGAAAAGGCAAAAAACTTACCAGCTCTGCTCATCCGTCTGCCTGAAATCCTAACCGAGTCAGGTTTCTGTAATCGTAATTTCTGGAAGAGACACAGGACATGGTATTAAAGATCATTGATTGCCTTCCCAACAAAAATAAACCCTAAGTCAGTGCGCAATCAAAACATGGTGCCACAATCGTTAACACCACCAAAGGTTCCAGGACCTAGCTTTTTTTAGTCTCTTCCCATACATTCAAAATGCAACCAAGATAAGAGTAGAGGTAGACTACCTGGTCTATGACCAAACAATTGTCTTGCCTTCAAGTTCACAGCCCATCATATTAATAGCTTAGTTCCTAAACAGATAACTCAGTACAAGTCTATGCATTCCCGTGCTATCGCAGAAGAACCCTACTGGCTTAGAACAAACAAAGAACTAGCATGGTTCTAGTTAGCTCAATGGCTCTCTAGCTATATAGTCAACGAAACTAAACCAGCCAGAAAAGAAGTAGCGAAATAATCCATTCGTAATTTAAGCAGACACAGTCTGTCGCCATTTGGGAGCATGAAAACAAATGAAGGCAATCGATTTGAATCAGATCGAGAGCCGCTGGGAATTAGGGAAAGGATAAGGTGAAAGAAAAGCTACACGGTGGCCGTTATTTACCTGAGAAGATGATTCTGCGACGGGGAGCGGACTTAAGAAGCTGACACAAACGACAGCCGCCATTGATGAAGGAGGAGGAGGAGCTACGGGGCAACTTTCTCCGTCGAGTGGAGGGAAAGGATCAACGAAGCTCTGGGCTGCCTCTGTAAATTTTGCTCGCAAGGTTCGGCGTGGAAAGGGAAATGACACTCCTATTTGTCTGGGCTGCGTCATGTTGAAGGCCCACCAACAGCTCTATTGTAACTTAGTTATCAGTTGGGCTTAGGCCTGGACACTATGACCATGGAGTTCGCCACTTTTTTGCTTTTCCTTTCACAAATCCTTGGGGAGTAGGGGTCAATCTTAAGGGCCACGGTTAGTTATTTAATGAAAAAGTAAGTTACATAACCATCTTACTGGTGGAGCTGGCCGGGTGATGATCACTAGGATGGCAATGGGTCGGGTAGGGGGCGGATAGTGCATATCCGTTACCCTACCCAATGTAGTTCGGGTTTTACCCATACCCGTACCCACACGAGAAACGGGTAGAAAATCAAAACCATGCCCATACCCGTTCGGGTTTCGGGTATCAACGGTTATCCATGGGTAATAATTTCTCATAATTTCAACCAATATGTTAACATTCACACGTATACTCACATTACGTAAGAGGAAAAGTACGACAATAATTCACTAGAATGACGAAAATTAATTAAAACAACATAATTTCATGAAAATATTATATTTATATGCTAAATATAAAATATTTTAGAGAAAAATAATGATTATTTCTAGACAAAATACATATGCATGTGTATAATCGGGCGGGTTCGGGTTGGATAGTGAGATAACCATGCCCACCCATTACCCGCAATATTCGGGTTCGGGTTTTACCCGTACCCACGAAAAATGCTTCGGGTTCGGGTTTTACCCTACCCGATTAGGTCGGATTCGGGTGAATATCCACGGTTGCGGATATTTTTGCATCTACGCAATATATAATAACAGGAGGAAAAATTGTTGCTACATAATTAAATTTTCTCTGTAACGAGAGTAAAAGTAGGAATGACATTTTGGTATTCACAATTATTATTTTTTATTCATTAAAAAGACACGTACTGTGATTCCAACCATGACCACTTTAAAGAAAATCAAGGATCATAACAAATCACACTAAGTATATTTGTTGTATTTTTTTAAATTAAAACCATAAAATATATAATAGCAGGAAGGAAAAAACTGTTGCTACATTTCATATTTCCTGCAACGAGACTGAAAGTAGGAAGGACATTTTGGTCTTCACTTTTTTTTATTCATTAAAAAGGCATGTACTGTGATTCCAACCATGACCACTTTAAAAAAAAACAAGGATCATAATCAATCACACTAAGTACATTTGTTGTATTTTTTTAAATTAAAACCATATAATAGTGGGAGGAAAAAACTTTCCCCTGTTTCAAATTCACTGCTCCACAAGCGTTTGTAGAAATGATAGAATAAGGAGTGTCAATTTTTTTCTCTTTCCTCTGTGGAACGGGTCAACTTACTGTACACATACGGATTTAAATGGGTCCAGGAGTGTCAATTTTTTGCTTTAAGCCCTTTTATTTCTCCGTGGTGGTAAAATATATATGAAAATTCAAAAACAATACTCCTTTTTATTGCTAAAAAGAAAAAGTTTATCAATAAGCTAATGCATGGATTCTAATGGGCTAACCGCTAACCATAAAATAAAAGAGTTGAATGGGTCTGACCTACACGGAATTTGGTCATCAAGTAAAACAAATGAACATCATGAGTTTGCCATTCTAATATATATTATGCTATTATTTTATATCTTAGTGGATAAAATATAATGTATTTTAAAGTTATTCAATGGTTCAACTTCGGCCAACCCAATTAGTCAAATTTTTATCATAATGATTAAATTATAGTGTATTTTATAGGGAATCGTTTGGTATTTGTTCGTAAAAAATTAAACAGAAAGATCTATTTGATTATTTTTAACATTAAAACGATCTTAAACATTTTCAGTTTCCTTTCGAATTTCGATGATTTTATTCCTGAATAAGTGATGTGCAAATGACGAATTGCAGTCATCTCTTTTCTTTCACGATTTTTTATTTTCAAATAGAAAGTTTAAAAGTAAAGATTAATGAGAGTTTGCCATGGGTCGGTCAAACAAGCTGAATTTCAAGTTTTGGCCCGTTTTCATCAAGTCTAATTTATAATCACATGGTTCCCTGATGCCCGATAAAAATCTCAATACAAACCAGTTTGGCAGTCCGTGTTTAGCACCATTTTCTAGGGATACAGGAACGACGGTTCCTATCCCAAATTGTGTTGTTCATTCTTGATTTCTTTAGATTTTATCGTGGTCTGGCAAAAACCAGAAAGCACAATGACGACAAGATGAAAGTTTTATAAAGCAAATTAATCGGCCAACGAGCCGAGTAAAAGCTAGCAACGATTATGAGATGCTCATTTCCTGAAAACCGAAGGGATAGACGATTTTTTTATTCAATTTTCTGGAATTCGGTTTCTATAAAACTTACTCCACCTCATCATATTACCAGAAACAATATTGTTTCACAAGGTAACAGGTACTTGATTTTGGTTCATAAGGCTGATTTTTGATTCGTTGCATAATTCATGTCTTTTTCCTGCTAAAGGTCACTATTTTTATCACGTGTTTCCCAAAAAAACTATACACCAATAAGCTATACACCTCATTACATTATCAAATTTCATGCCTCACCTTACTCCGACCAACTGGACGGGGCCCACTCTAGTAACATAATATCTTAGAGTGTGAACGTTGCACGAACATCATATATTTTAAACTAACCATATAGATTACATGAGATCTTATCTTTGTGAAATTTTGGATTAAGAGATACATAAATGTATTGGCGAAATTGAAAAGGTAAAATTAAAAAAATATTTAATTATGTCCTTATCGTCAAGAATCAGTTGGTCCAATAACCCGACTTGTTGGGAAAGGTTCAATAATGGTTCTTATACCATTCACTAACACTAACACACCCCCTCATCTTATACCATTCACTAACACACCCCCCACAAACGGAAGCCAACTCACAGGCTTAAAGTTTGCACAGACCCACCATACCTTGTGCTTTAATCAACTGTTAATATTGGGACGTGGAGATTCAAACACACGACCATTTAGCCAAACCAGCTCTGATACCATGTCAAGAACCAGTTGGTCTCAATAACTCGAGTTGTTGAAAGAGATTCAATAATATATCATATACCACTTAGTGATGACAATTTCAACCTGCCCCGCGGGTATTACCCTACCTGACCCACGATGGGGCGGGTATAACCCGACCCGTAATAGCGTGAGGCGGGGTATGGGTATCTACTTCCGATCCGCCCTGCCCCGCCCCGTTCTAGATCCATTTTATCCTAATTTTTGACACTATCTATACATATTTCTCCTATTTTGATTTTTCTTCAACTAGTTAGAGTCGATCTTTCAACTGGTCAGACTCAATTACCCATTATATTATCACTATTTTTATTCATAAAGTGTTTTTTCATTCGTTTTATCGTAAAAAGTAAAATTTATGTATATTTTTTTCAAATAACATGTAAATATGAGTCGATCCGTCCTGCTCCCCGCACCCGCAAAGGTTTTGCCCGTCTCGCCCCATAATAGCGTGGGACAGGGCATGTGAATTAAGGTAACCAGCCCGCCCCACCCCATTGCCATCACTAATACCACTCACTAACACTTATAATCCATACTCGTCTTGTACCGGTCCACAGATTTGAAGAGGGGCCATTCCCCCTCAATCGCCTTTCAAATTTCAGAAATGTAGGCCAACTCCCCCGGTACTCCATTGATATATGGTAGAGTTTTGTGTAATTTTTTCCATTTCAAATTTCTTACAACGCAAGTGAAAGTAGGAAGAACGTTTTTGTCTTTACAATTAATTAATTATTTCAAATAAAAAATATCAATACCAAGTTTTGAACCCTGGTCTCTTCAAACAAAAACAACCGGTGAATTGCAAATTTGGTCACTCATATTATCTATTTGTAACACTTTAGCCACCTAAATCATTTTCGCTTCAATTCAGCCATCAATACTACACGTTTATGACATGTTTGGTCACTTGCCGTCTAGTTCCGTTAAGTTTGTCCTACATGGCGGTCAACAGTTATGATTGATTGTTAAAATGCTGACGTTGCAATTAAAAATAAACCAATAATAAATATAAATATTATTTATACTTGGACAACTAAATCTTCCCTCCACTGTCGCCCGCCAAGCGGTTGAGCTCCCCCGCCACAGCCACCATCCCCTTTCAGGCCACCGTTTTACTCCGGGCTCCTCCATATCTGTTGTCATTATCGACATCAAAGGCGGCACGGTTGCCTCCTGCACTTGCTTTTTGGACTTATAATCGCCACGATCGGTGGTCTCGGATTCCTCGCTTTTGTGCGAATTGGGCAGTTTATTGGCGCTCAATAAGTTCCAAAATCTCGACCTGGGTGGAAATGGGTTGATGAATTCCAAAGGTATCCCGCGTCCCGAACCCACCCGACGAGGATTACTTAACCTCCTCTGTTTCTCATTTCAGCTCTTCGCATTCGAGATTTGACGGCGAGATTCAAGTCCAAACTGGGACAATCACGGTGATTGTAATGGACCCACAAGTCTACGATGGGAACTACACCAAGAACGGGTGTCGGAGATGGGAAGGACCGGCGATCGTCTGGACATCATCGAGATCCGTCTGGCGAACGATAAGGTCTCGTTCGACTAGTCGGCCAGCCTCTACGGCATCACAAAGAAGTCCGGGGAAGAATCGCCGACACCTACAACCGGTTGTGACTTGTGAGTTGTAAAAGGAAAAAAAATTATTTATTATTTATGTATTTTTAATTGCCACGTCATCATTTTAACAGTCAACATAATTTTTGACCACCACGTAGGACAAACTTAACAGAACTAGACGGCGAGTGACCAAAAATGTCATAAACATGTTGTATCGATGGCTGAATTGAAGCGAAAGTGATTCGGGTGGCTAAAGTGTTACAAATAGATAAATGAGTGACCAAACTTGCAATTCACCCCAAAGACAACAATCATAACCAATTACACTAAATAAATTTGTTGTTTCTTTTTGTTTTCTGAGTGATATCAATAGAAAATAATAGTTAAGCTTACAATTCTACCCAGGACCCCCTAAAAGACTCTAAAGAAGCCACCCCAAAAAATCAAAAGATTCTAGCTCTACACGAGACAAAAGCAGTGCTTTACGCGCCACTCTATGGGAAGCACTGATGGCGGATCTAGGTACCGCCCTAAACTCTATACAAACAGACAAAGAGCTAAGGATCTGAAGACACTTTCGTAACACCGGACCACCAATCGAGTCTTCTAAGACGCCTTGACGGGCTTGGATGATGACCACTTCGGAATCACCTTCGCCTATCACACGGGTCAAGGATCTTGAGGCTACAAAGGAGATAGCATCCCTGAAAGCTAGAAGCTCTTCCAGATAAGAGTTGACTATTCCTTGATGCTGCAACCCGACCGCCAACATCACATGCCCGTCTGACCCACGGATAACAAGCCCAGACGAACACCCGGAGGCACAAACAGCTGCGTCAACGTTGATCTTCAAAAAGCCTTCTGGTGGAGGGACTCAAATGGTGGCAGGAAGGTTTGGGAGTACAGAGCTGCGGGGAGGAGGGGGAGAAGAAGACTGGAGAATCGAGGACCTGGTTGTAGAATTGTCTGGCTAGGGTACGGACATGAGGTTGGATAAATTCAAAGTTCACTTTATTTCTAGACTTCCAGATTCTCCAAAGTAAACAGACACATTGGAGAATGTGGAATGGGGAGGTCTCGAAGACCATGACATGTCGCCACCATAGACTAAAGTTAACAGTCTGGGCGGTCTCAATAAAGTTGCTCAATCCCACTAAAGTCC